ATTTCTGTGTCACTCTTTCACGTTGTCCGTTACTATTCTACCCAGATAGTTAAATTTCTTTCCTTGCTTGAATTTGATATCCCCAATGTATAGCTCACATTTTTGGCTGTCATTATTATCAACAATCATGTCTTGACTCCCCATCTCTTTCTTTCAAAATGATATTGATTCTGCCCCTTATTCTTGCCTGATTATATGTCTATTACCAGAATTCCCCACATTCCGGTCGAGTGTCACTTGATCCTGAAAGTTTTTATTTATACATTTCTCCCCTACTCTGGAGAGCAGATGGTTGCTTTGTATCTTTCACTTCTTGATTTTTACTGTCTTTTTATATTTAATAGTTTGTCTTTACTTTTTTTCTTTCCTTTACGACTGCGACATCTAATCATTCTTTCAGTTTTTTTCCTTCTGAGTCCACCATTAATACAGTGTCATCTTACATAAAGATTATGTCTGCCAATAATAAACACTGGTGTCAAAAGGCGAACCTGAATATTCACTTTCTTTTCTGTCCCAGGGCCCGGTGCAATACAATATGTACAATTGGAATCGGTCGGTCAAATCATGATAAAGATATTTTATTTTTTGCTCGTTCTCTATTTCTCTTTCATCTACGCCGAAAAAGAGCCCCTGATGAGACCCCGCCCCGGCACCCCCCCCAAAAAAAAACGAAAAACAAAAAAAGCGAAAAACAAAAAAACGACGAAATTTGAACTTGATTTTAAAAAAATAATCCTTTCACCCCAAGAAAAAGCAGGAATGTCACTAGTACGCAGAGGGTTACAAAGAGTGAATGAGAGAAAAGACTGTGTATAGGGAGGATTGAGGAAATGATAAAAGATGAACGGGATTCCAGAAGACAGAAGATGGCAATTGACGTTGAATTTAAATTTTTGGAGATTGTAGTTTTCAGGGAAGCAAGTAAACGGAAGGGAGTTGCACTGTCGGGAAATACGAGAAAAGACTATTGAAATAGAACTGGCAGTTGCATTTAACTATTTAAACAGTAAATGGGTGGGACCTAGATGCCAATCTAGTAGCATTCTTAAATTCATGCAGCTGGGACATTAGGGGATAAAACCTCATCAGAGCAGTTGCCATGAAAATATCCGTGGAAAAGACAGATGGAAGCCACATCATGTCTGTGAGAAAGTGACTGAAGTCGAGATGCCAGGTCAGGATCAATTATATTGCAGATCCTTCTTTGGATATTGTCGAGAAGCTCGAGATGAACAGCAGGGGCACCAGACCAGATTAGCAACAGTATTCAATGCACGAAAGAATGGTAAATTTGTAGATGTGTAAGATGAACTCTGATGAGAAAAATCCTTTCGCTATTTGCTTCATGTTTACTTATGTGTGCATATTTGTATTTGAAGTATTATTCCATTTTGTAATTTTTTTTTTCATATTTATTTTTTAAAACCCACCCCATATATAATATGGATTGCTCCACTATCATTAAAGTCCTGTCTATATATCGAAATTTAAGTTAACTAGCAGTCAGTCTTAACTCAGCACCTGAAGATTATGTTATGCATGGAACTCAGAGTTGTGTTACTGTTGAGGAATAAAAACCATGTAGTCGGGGTGACAGAGAGAAAAAAGATTGTCAGAGCAGTTTCAATGAAAATATTTGTAGAAAAGACAGAGGGAAGCCACGTCACATCGATAAGAAAATGACTGAAGTTGAGATGACAAGTCAGGATCGATTAAATTGCAGATCCTTCTTTGGATTTTGTCAAGAACTCTGAGATGAATAATAGGAGCACCAGACCAGATATGGTAACAGTATTCAATGCATGGATGAATAGGAGATTTGTAAATGTGCAAAATGGACTCTGATGAGAAAAAGTTTCTGTCAGGACACAGTGACCCAACTTTCCTTGCATTGGTAGTTTATTTATTTAATTTTTTTAAAAATCATTTCACCCCCAAGCAAAGCAGAAATGCCACAAGTATGCAGGGAGACTACAGTGAGTGAAAGAAAAAGAGAAGACTGAGAAGAAGGAGGATTGAGGAAAAAACAAAAGATGAATGGGAATCAAGACGATAGAAGATGGTGATTGACATTGCATTTAAATTTTTGAAAATTGTAATTATCAAGGAAGCAAGCAAACGGAAGGGAGTTACGTAGGTGGGAAACGTGAGAAATGAAACTGTTAGAATAGAAGTGCTGGTTGCATTTAAGTATTTCAATAGTAAATGGGTGGGACCTAGATGCCAATCGAGTAGCATTCTTAAATTCATATAGTCGAGGCATTAGGGGATAAAACCTCATCAGAGCAGTTGCCATGAAAATATCTGTGGAAAAGACAGATGGAAGCCACATCATGTCTGTGAGAAAGTGACTGAAGTTGAGATGCCAAGTCAGGACCGATTACATTGCAGATCCTTCTTTGGATTTTGTCAAGAACCTCGAGATACAAATCAGAAGCACAAAACCAGTTATGGCAACAGTATTCAATGCACGGTAGAATGGTAGATTTGTAAATGTACAAAGTGGACTTTGTCGATTTCTTACGAACAACGATCACGCTAGGTCTCATCCCCTGCAAAAGCACAACTATTATAAATTTTATTAAAGTTGTCTTTGATCTTATATATTTTTGCCGGGTGATCGTCTGGTAAATTCAGAAGCTTCTTCTCTTTATAATGGTATTTATCAGTGAGAAAACAGTCTGACAGTATCTATGCCGTGACGTCATTTTCAAAAGCGACGAACACAGAGGTGAAAACGCAGGCAAAATACACAGCTTTCATGCTTTTAAATTAGCAGTTGAGAAGAAAAAAAAGCCATAGGCTTAAAAGGAGAAGAGAACTCGATTCGTGTCGGCGACTTAGCGTTTTGATGTCTAGGATGTGAAGTGAATGGAAGATAGAATCATGTACGAGATGCAGAAAAGTAAATGGTTAATAAAAAGAGAAGGAAATAGAAAGAAAGAAAAAGAACGAAAAAGAAAAGAAAAAAAGAAAAAAGGTAAGAAAGAAAAATTCTTGGGCTGCGAATTGTAAGAAAGAAAATGAAAGCTGAGGAGGTGAATAAAAGAAAAGGTGGATGACTAAATATATAAAAAAAAGAAGATAAAGAAAAAGAAAGAAAAGAAACAAAACGAAGGAAAAATCTGCGGATTATACGAAATAAATTGTTAACATTGAAATGGAGGGAATATAAAAAAAGAGCAAATGGTTTGGTGAGAGAAAGGAATAAAAAAATAGATTGAAAGAAAAAACGAACAAATAAGAAAATGAAATCAATAAAGATAAAAACGTCTATTGATGTGGATTGAACGAAAGAAATTCAGGGTTGGAAAATAAAAAAAAAGAGCAGATTCTTGTAAAAAATAGAAAAGAAGGAAAAGGATAAAAGAAAGAGAAAAGAGAAGAGAAAGAAACAAGTGAAAAGAAGAGAAAAAAGAGAAGAGAAGGGAAAAGAAAACAAGAAAAATGAGAATAGAAGGAAACAAGAGAAGAGAAGGAAAAAAGAGAAGAGAAGGAAACAAGAGAAAAGATGGAAACGAGAAAAAACGAACTAAAAAGTAAAGAAAAAATAAAGGAGAAAAAGAAAAAAAAACAGAAGAAAAAGAAAAGAATCGAAGACTAAATACAGACAAAAAGGAAAGAAGCAAAGAAAAGTAGAAAAAGAAAGACAAAAAAAGAACGACAAAATTCATTTAACGAAGAGATCTCTACGGCGGGAAAAGAGAAGCAGACGATGGATAACATAACTAAAAAAAAAAAGGCTCGATTTTCGAGGCTTACGAATCTTGTGAAGAACTAAAAAGAAAGAAAACAGGGCAACAATAGATTAAATAATTTGTAACCGATTAATCTTCACGAAATTTTAAAGGCGAAAAAGTGAGAGGTTCATAGTATGCCCAAGTACACGTTTTTAGAAACTTTACTTAGATTTTAAAAAATCTCATTTGAAACAGACAGACTGCAAATAAACTCAGTTACCAAAATAGATAATAAATACAAAGTAGGCAGGTGTTCATAACATTTTTTTAAAATTAATTCAAACCAAGAAAAGCGAGTAAGACGCAAGTGGCTACTAAGAGTAAAAGAGAATGAAAAAGAACCGGAAAACACAATTATAAACAGGAAACAAGGGAGAAAAAAAAACACACACACACACACACGCACACACACACACACACACACACACACACACACACATTTTTTATATTTTGTCTTCTGTGTATTTTGCTTGTTTTTGGGTTAGGAATAAAATTTGTTGATAGAATTTTAATTTAGCCTTTTTGATCACACACGCACACACATTACACACACACACACACACACACACACACACACACACACACACACATATATATATATATACAGAAAATAAGGCAATTATATATATATATATATATATATATATATATATATATATATATATATATATATATATATATATAAGGTAATTGAAAAGTATCTCCCTATTTTATGTATGGGTGGCCAGCCAGAAGTCCTGACTTAATATTCTGTGACTTTTTTCTTTGGTGTTAGTTAAATAGTTAAAGTGACAAGTCTGCTATACCAAATGAAGACTTTGGTAGAACTTGAAAGGCGAACACAAGAAGTTATGTCTTCCATACTACAAGAAGTCCCGGTGAAATCTGTTAACGCGATTACTGAATGGCTTGAGAAGCTGGTGCCCATATCGTATTTTAAATTAAACCTCATGCGAAACGCTTTCCTTTCATATCCATTTCTTATAAAAACTATAGTTAATCAATAAATAATTATTTTAAAATGGAGAGTTACTTTTCAATCACCCTGTATATAAATCGCTAAACAATATTGACAATGTTTGCTTTTTATTATGTTTTATTATGTTTTACTTGTATGTGAAGTGTTTTCTTTTATTGACTTAGTTAATGCAAAAATTGTAGAAAAGTTTGATTCTGAGCGCTTTTGGCTAGACCTATTTTCAAGGATGTGTGTAAAATTGCGATAATAAATGATGAATAAATGCTACTGCAGACAGTATGAAAATTGCTGAAACTTTAAACCATTTCCTACCCAGTAATGTTTGACTGTGTTTCTGTCTCTATATTGGTTTGTTTTGGTTTGTTTTACGGCATATCAACACTTCAATGGGTCATTTAATGCCAGCAACTTTTTTTTCCTGGTAATATTATTGTTTTGTCAAAAATCTATTTCTGTTAATATTTTTTTTCTTCAAAAATGTATAGATGGTAATATTATTTTCAAAAACGTATAGCTGGTAATATATATATATATTTTTTTAAAAAAACGTATTGCTGGTAATAGTTTTTTTTAAATTTATTACTGGTAATAATTTTTTACAAAGTATTTCTGGTAATAAAACCTATTTTTACACTTTTATAATGCTTTTTACCTCAGTTTCGGGGTTAACTATTTGCCCATAGCTGGGGCCCTAACAGGTGCTACCACTCCGGGTCAGGGTGGACCTGGGAACACCAGCAATTAAGAGGTGGTTCCACGCTCCTCAAAGCCTCCTGATCAGAGGCCTTGCTGTTGGACGTAGTTTATTGTCTTACCCAGGACGGACTTACATATCTATCTATCTATCTATCTATCTATCTATCTATCTATCTATCTATCTATCTATCTTGGTTTACAGGTCTGAAGATTTGAAACCGTTTTTATCGACTTCAGTTAAATAAATATCACCTATGGTTTTTAAGTGTTTGTTTGCCATTATACAATATTTTTTCTCTGTTTTTGACATAGAGTTCTCAACGGATCCATATTCTTTTGGAAATTCCATACGGATTACCAATAATTTTATATATATATATAAGTGTGTATTTGGGCAGCAATGCCTCTTTTATACAGGTTTTATTGAAGATTCTTTTCCCGATATAGAGTGTGTAAAAACTCTTGAAATGAGCTGAGGGTCTGAGCACTTTCGACTAATTAGACATTATCAAGGATGATTTTTTGTTTAAAAGAATATAGTTTTTTGTTCTATAGAAACAGGACTGTTTTAATTTCGAAAACAGTCATCTCGTTGTGGCCGTGTTCATAATTGATATTATTGAGCGTTGGTTTATTTCTTATCATTGTTAACGCTTCCATAATTACGAAAACGGTTAAAATAGTTGAGTCTGATACACATGTGGTGCTCCTTTTTTGAAGCTTTCTGCCAGACCATGTCTAACTGATTATAACAAATCCAAAGAAAATTAATCGTTAAAGTTAATTGAAATATCAAAAGAGATACAATTACACCGTTTTATATTTCGGCGAGAGATCGAATTACACATTGAGGACTTAATTACATTTCTAAATTGGTTACTTTTGACAAAAAGACGCGCTCAATAGCAGGCTAAGGGCTGTTGTTGAAAGTCAGTTACGAAGACGCAAAACTGTCGAGGCGAGACTTAAGTGTGTTACAGACATGATACAATCAAGCGTTTATTCAATTGGCAAGTGGCAAAATCTATTGTGAACGATGCTGTGGTTCGAAGTCTTTAAAACGAATCACAATGCAAGTGTTTGTGAACAGTAAAGACAGATAAATAGGTAGATAAAAATCACAAACTCTCTTTCTCTCCCTCGAGAAAGAAAGATTGATTTTTGGTGTAGTTGTATAACACTACAGACATTTGGTCTCACATGTTTTATCAATATATAAAATTAATACTTTTCGGGATCTAAAAGTTTATTTGCTGAATGATGGTAACGTCTATCTGCGCAGGTAGGATAGAAAAGAGTTCGTTTTGCGCAGATGCAAAAACGACGGCCATTTGTCTAAGATATCCTGAAATTTAAAGTTTCAAATTTAAATATGTATTTTAATTTAAATTTAAATATGTATCTTCAAGTCTGAAACTAAAATCTTGTCTTCTATATTTAAAAAAATATTTTTTTTGACTACGCTATTCTAATTCTAATGTTGGTTGACATTTTAAAAATTAATTTCACCCCAAGCAAGGCAATAAGTCCACTAAGACGCAATGGTTACTGAGTGCGAGAGAATGTGAGAAAACATTATTAAGGAGAGAAAACGGTAAAAGAACAGGTATTAAGAACATACCGATTGAAATTGTACTTAAATGCTTGAAGACCAAAGTTGGCTGGAAAGCAAGAAGCCGGAAGAGAGTTCCACATGCGAGAAGTGCGAGAGAAGAAACTGTTAGCATAGAACTTACGGTTACATCTAGCCATTTCAACTGGAAAAATGATAAGACCTTGCTGCCAGTCTAGCAGTAAGCTTAAATTCATAAAGTCAAGGTACAAAAGAGGAAAGACCATCAGGACAATTACCATGGCAATATTTATAGAAAAGGCAATGGGAAACTGGGTTACAGCGGCAGGAAAGTGACTGAAGCCGAGATGCCAAGTCATGGCCAATAACATTGCAGATTCTTTTTTTTTTAATTCAAGAATCTCTAAACACACAGCAGAGGCACTAGACAGGATGTAACTGCAATATTCAATGCATGGATGAATGGTAGAGTTATAAATGTGTAAGATAAGATTCTGGAAGGATAAATTTCCTAGCACGGCTTGAACAAAGATCAAAATAGAAATTTAAAACTTTGTCAAAATAAGAATTTTATTTATTTTTTACGGATTATCAACTCTTTGTAGGTTAGGTAAAGCTGGAACATATTTTGGATTGTGAGAGTAACTTTTTTTTTTGCGAGTGAAACCCATAGACGGGGTTATTTCTAACCCAAAAACAAAGAAAATACACGGAAAACAAAATATACAAAAATATATATATATATATATATATATATATATATATATATATATATATATATATATGAAGAAAAAATATACGGAAAAAACAAACATAAATCCTAATATGCAATTATGCTGTTTTAAGGTTAATATAATATCAACGTCGGACGTTTCGGTCTAATAGACCATCTTCAGAACATATTTATAAAACATAATTAACATAGACCATATTCAATTCAACATGAAAAAGACGATGGACATAAAAGCAATACCAATCCAAACAGATAACTGAAATCTTTTATAAGATCAGCGTTCCGTTTAAATATGATCACGTCGTCGTCATATATTTGCTTATATATATATATATATATATATATATATATATATATATATATATATATATATATGTATGTTTGTTTGTTTCCTTGTTTATAATCGTGTTTCCGGTTCCTTCTAAAGTCTTTTTCATTTCGCCTTGCTTGGGGTGAATTAATTTTAAAAAATGTCAAGAAACATTGTCTAGCACAACACAGCAAACCAAATTTCCTAGCAGCTACACGTAGGATCCAACCGTCAGTCCAATAATCAGGTCCATTCAACGCACTGAATTACACTCATAAGTAAAAATTCCGGCTTCTTTTCGCGATGTTCACTCAAAGGAGGTAGTTTCGTTGCTTTCACCATCTTTAGCCAGTGTGCTTAATAGACTGCATCTTTTCTCTTTTCTGCATCCCCAGCTTCTTCAAATAACTGTTGATGGACAGTTCACTCTTCTTTATTAACCCTTTTGAAATTTATTCAAACGTCTTTCTTTTACATTTTTAAAGCCATTTTTAATCTAACCATGTCGCATCTGTGGGTGGTGTAATGGATAATGTCACGGAATGAGAAATCGGAGATTCGAATTCTAGTTGGATTCGTTGTATTCACTTATGCGAAAATATCCATCTCCCCAGGCTATGGGTTAAATAGTAGAACGTGAATCTGGAAAAGAAATTGCTGATGTAATATTAAGTTGCAAAAAAAGGTCAAAGTTTAAAGGCGAAAAAGGGAGAGGGTCGTGTTATACACAAGTACACGTTTTCAGAAACTTTTACTTAGATTAAAAAAATCTCTCATTTGAAACAGACTGCAAATAAATGCAATTACCGAAATAGATAATAGAACACATAATTGGCAGATGTTCATAATATTTTTTTTAAATTAATTAACCCCAAGTAAGACGTAAGTTGCTATTGAGAGTAAAAGAGAATGAAAAAGACTTTAGAAGGAACCGGAAACACGATTATAAACAGGAACAAACAAACACACACACATATATATATATATATGTAAGCAAATATATGGATATAGATCCGACAGTATGAAGAAAAATATACTGAAAAAACAAACAAAAATCCTAATATGCGATTATGCTGTTTTAATGTTTAATGTCAACGTCGGACGTTTCGGTCTAATAAAGCATCTTCAGGACATATTCATAAAACATAATTAACATAGACCATATAAAATTCAACATGAAAAAGACGGATGGACATAAAAGCAATGCCAATCCAAACAGATAACTGAAATCTTTTATAAGATCAGCGTTCCGTTTAAATCTGATCACGTCGTCGTCACGTGGGCGATGTTGTGAAAGCGTATTCCTAAAATTTGAGTATTTTGAATGAAAAACGAAAAGAATTTTATTTTGATCTAAAACTTATATGTACGTTTGTGTGATCTTTTTTTTTCAAGCCGTTCTAAAAAATTTATCTTTCCAGAATCTATCTTACATGTTTATAAATCTACCATTCGTTTAAGCTTTGAGTATTTCTGCCACATATCGTCCAGTGCTCCTACTATGTATTTAGAGATTCTTGATAAAGAAGAATCCGCAATGCTATTGGTCCTGACCTGGCATCACGGCTTCTCTCACTTTTTTCCGCCGCTGTAATCTAGTTTCATTGAACATCTATACATTTCCACCATCAAGTTATATTTATGGCTTTACGATAAAACTCTCAAGGTTTGGACGTCAATAAATCTCTGAATGCAGTTTCTAGATCTTGTTTTCAACGGAATGTCTTTTGGTTTAAAAAATTGTCAAGATGTTTGAAAAAGTGGTAGTCAGTGGGTGCGAGATCAAAGAAATATGGTTGGTGTGGCAAGGTCTCGTATCCCAAGTCGGCGAGCTTCTGTAGTGACATGCTAGCAAGATGAGGTTGAGCATTTTCATAAAGTAGAATTGGACCACATCGATTGACCAGTGCCGGTCGTATGTTGCTTAACTGAATGCATATTTCATTCAGTTGCTGGCAAGTAAACGTTGGCCGTGATGCTCTTAGATTCCAGAAAGCTGTAATGGCTAATACTAATTGTGGACGACCAAGCAGTAACTATATTCTTCTATTAGTGCAATTTCAGTTTCAAGCCACTGAGCCGGTCGTTTACGATTGTCATAAAGGATCCATTTCTCATCACAAGTCACTATTCGATCAAGAAGTGGATCATTCGAATTTCGCGGATACAGCATCGAACACACTTCAAAACGTTGAGCTCTTTAACTTTCACTTTCACTTTCATGTCGAAGCTATTTATCGAGTTTCTTCACCTTGCTAGTTTTCTTGAGATCGTCCATTATTGGTTGGAATGTTGACGCCAATCTACTGAAACATTGCTCTGATACTTAGGCGCGGGTTTTGTGCGACTAGTGCTTTCAGATGTTGATTGTAATTGCACATGGACGTCATTTTCCTCAAGACTCGTATCCCCAATGTAGTATTTCAGAAACAAGAAGGAAATTGTAGACCTCTCACTCTTAACGATTAATAACAAACTCTTTTAGTAGCCCTCTACCTTGAGTGGCTCTTGGACCTTGTTTTTGGTGAACATTATTAAAAATGTATTTGGGTTTAAAGAATCAAACGGATGTAACCTT